TGCACCGCCTGCTGCGGGAGCGGCAGAAGGCGATGCTGGAGGAGCTGGAGGCCGACACGGCGCGGACGCTGACGGACATCGAGCAGAAGATCCAGCGCTACAGCCAGCAGCTCCGCAGGGTGCAGGAGGGCAGTCAGATCCTGCAGGAGCGCCTGGCAGAGGCCGACAAGCATGTCTTCCTGGCCGGCGTCGCCTCCCTCTCTGAGAGGTGGGGGACAAGGAGGTGATGCCCCCACCCCTGCCTCATCCACCCCCTGCTCTACCGTCCCTCCCTCCTTCGCAGGCTGAAGGGGAAGATCCATGAGACCAACCTGACCTATGAGGACTTTCCCACCTCCAAGTACATGGGCCCTCTGCAGTACACCATCTGGAAATCCCTCTTCCAGGACATCCATCCTGGTGAGAGGTGCAGGGTGGGCTGGTGCTGGGCCAGGGGTGCTGGTGAGGGATGGGGATGGGGACATCACTGGTGAGGGATGGGGACATCACCAGCAAGGAATGGAGATGGGGTCATCACTGGTGGGGGATAGGGATGGGGACATCACTGGTGAGGATGGGGACATCACTGGTGAGGATGGAGATGGGGACATCACTGGTGAAGGGTGGGGATGGGGACATCACTGGTGAGGGATGGGGATGGGGATGTCACTGGTGAGGATGGGGGTGGGGACATCACTGGTGAGGGATGGGGATGGGGACATCACCAGCAAGGGATGGGGACAGGGACACCACTGCTGAGAGATGGGGAAGGGGACATCACTGGTAAGAAATGGGGACATGCCAGTGGGAGATGAGGACCAGGGCATTTCTGGTGAAGGATGAGGATGCACTGGTGAGAGATGAGGATGGAGACATCACCAGTGAAGGATGGGGACATTACTGATGAGGGACAGGGATAGGGACATCATTGAAGAACTATGTGGATATGCCAGTGAGAGATGGGGACAAGGACATCACTGCCAAGAGATGGGTATGGGGAGATTGCCACCAAGGGCTGGGGACACACTGGTGAGAGCTGGGGACAGGGACATCACCAGCAGGGGATGGGGATGCACCGGTGAGGGACAAGGACACCCGGTGACCTCCACACCTTTGCACACCGCTGGGGCAGAGCCACCTGTGCTGGGTCCAGGGGGCTGCCTTGACCAGGGCTGTCCAATCCCCTGGTCCCCGTGTTCCCCCCTCACCTCCATGTCCCCCCCTGCTCCCCGCAGTGCCCGCAGCCCTGACGCTGGACCCCGGCACCGCTCACCACCGCCTGATCCTCTCGGACGACTGCACCATCGTGGCCTATGGCAACCTGCACCCCCAGCCCCTGCAGGACTCCCCCAAACGCTTCGACGTGGAGGTCTCGGTGCTGGGTGCCCAGGCCTTCTCCGGCGGCGTCCACTACTGGGAGGTGGTGGTGTCTGAGAAGACCCAGTGGATGATCGGCCTGGCCCACGAAGCCGTCACCCGCAAGGGCAGCATCCAGATCCAGCCCAGCAGGGGCTTCTACTGCATCGTCATGCACGACGGGAACCAGTACAGCGCCTGCACCCAGCCCTGGACACGGCTCAACGTCAAGAGCAAGCTGGAGAAGGTGGGGGTCTTCCTGGACTATGACAAGGGGCTCCTCATCTTCTACAACGCCGACGACATGTCCTGGCTCTACACCTTCCGGGAGCGCTTCCCTGGCAAGCTCTGCTCCTACTTCAGCCCCGGGCAGAGTCACGCCAACGGCAAGAACGTCCAGCCCCTCCGCATCAACACTGTCCGCATCTAACTGGGGGGGTGGGTGGCACTGCCTGCCCCAGGAGTGCTGCTGGCTGGGGGGGCTGGGCTGAGCCTGCTGCAGGAACTGGCAGGAGTTGGGCTCTTCCCGGCTCTGTCCCGCGCTTCCGGGGGGTGCCAGGGGGGTTGGGGGGGTCCGGGCTGCTGCAATAAATGGATTTGGAGAGAAGGGGTTGGGTGGTGGAGAGACCCTGGTGGGGGGGTCTGGGGTGGCTGGGTGGAGGTACCAGGCTGAGCTGTGGGGCACTGTGCTGTGGGGCACTGAGTTGTGGGGCACTGTGCTGTGCCATGGGGTGCCCTGGTGTTGGTGTGCCATGGTGTGCCCTGGTGTGCCATGCCCTGGTGTTGGTGTGACATGGTGTGCCATGGTGTGCCCTGGTGTGCCATGCCCTGGTGTTGGTGTGCCATGCCCTGGTGTTGGTGTGCCCTGATGTGCCATGCCCTGATGTGCCATGCCCTGGTGTTGGTGTGCCCTGGTGTGCCATGCCCTGATGTGCCATGCCCTGGTGTTGGTGTGCCATGCCATGCTGTGCCATGCTGTGCCAGGCTGTGTATGTGCTGTGCCACACACGCTGTGCCACGCCAGAAGTGGTGTGCAGTGCCATCCGTGTGGCACTGTGCCCTGTCACACGTGCCGTGCTGCACCCTGGGTACAGTGCCCTGCCATCCATGTGGCACTGTGCCCTTTCACACATGCTGTGCTGCACCCTGGGTACAGTGCCCTGCCATCCGTGTGGCACTGTGTCATCGTGCTGTGCCACACCACGAGTGCTGTGCCAGGCCATGCCACGTGTGGTGTGCCATGTGCACGGCCCTGTGCCATCCTGTGCCACACCACATCACACCTACCGTGCTGGGCCGTGCTGGGCCAGCATGTCCTGCACTGTGTCCCAGGGTGCTGTGCCACGCCAGGGGGACCGTGCTGAGCCATGCCGAGCGTGCCGGGCTGTGCCGGGCCGTGCCACGCCAGCCCTGCTGTGTCATGTGCCGTGTGTGCTGGGCCATCGTGCAGACTGAACGTGCCCTTGTGCTCCGTGCTGTGCCCTGCTCTGCGTGCCCCTCCACACTGTGCCACACGTGCTGTGCTGTGCCACACATGCTGTGTCACACATGCTGTGCCACACGTGCTGTGCCACGCGTGCTGTGCCACACGTGCTGTGCTGTGCCACATGTGCTGTGCCACACGTGCTGTGCCACACGTGCTGTGCCACACGTGCTGTGCTGTGCCACACGTGCTGTGTCACACATGCTGTGCCACACGTGCTGTGCCACGCGTGCTGTGCTGTGCCACATGTGCTGTGCTGTGCCACGCGTGCTGTGCCACACGTGCTGTGCCACGCGTGCTGTGCCGCGCGTGCTGTGCCACACGTGCTGTGCTGTGC